CCAAACCAACAATCTTATGTGAAAGCAACGACTCCTCCTTCTGCACCTGCTGCCTCACCTGCACCTTCTCCTACTCGAGCCTCCTCGCCTCCACCGTCCCCACCTACAGCAAAAAACAAAAAAAATATCTTAGGAGGTGAATAATGAAAAACCTACACTAAGTTTTAATTTCTTTCAACGTTTTCTACCATTGGATCTGAAGGAGTTCTACATTTACCTTTGAACCTCTGAATGTTGTAGGATGCGTTTGCAGGGAAGTTGCCTGTAATCTTTTTAAGGTCTGCATCATCATAGCAATATTGTGCTTGTTTTCCCCTCTCAACCTGCTTGGACTTTCCTCATGCCTTTTTAAAAAAAGAAAGGTAAATGAACTCACTGAACTCTCGCTTGAAGATACCAAAAGCAACTGGGCCACAGACATCATGAGTAATAAGAACATCAACGTTAACCCATATGTTATCTCCAGGGACCACTTGTGACTTCTTTGCCGCCTACACCAGAATCTTCTCCGTTATCGTCATCCCAGTTTTCACCTCGAGGAGAGAAAGGAAGATAAAGCTCAGGCCGATCCTGAGCTGGCCGATGATGAACGCTGGAGAGCCATGACGGAGACAATCGATTTCTTCTGACATCTATGAACCGAAATCTGTGATGTTTTGGGGAACGAAAAAAACCCCAAACCCTTCTTCCCCCAAATTAACAACGATGTAAGAAAATTTGAAGATCTGTAAGAAAGTGCAAAATCGATAAATGGAAGATGATTGATACAAACCTTAGTGGAGGATTTGTAGACGAAGGGAGAGGAAAAAAAGATAACAGAGGAAGCTTTTGATTGTTCTTCGTGAAACGGAGGAAAGGAAGAAGAGGAAGAGAAAGGATTTGACAATTGACTTAGGCTTCTGGTTTCTGACGTGGCGAAAATCTATTTTCTTATAGGTTGATTATTTTTTTGACGTGGCATAGCTCACAGGGCTTATTATCCCCTTTCAACAACACGTTATGATTAATGAGCAGGACCATCATCACCATGTATTTTTCTCACCGGTGTCACCATAGTCGTGTTTCTTCTATCTGAATGAGTTTGTCTCTGCCGTTTTCATCGTCACAGCCATCAATCCCCATGGTTGGTTTGAGAATGTAAAGCTGAGTACTTCAAGCTTTATGTTTCGATCAATCTATGTTCGTCGGACCAAGGTTGGGTCGAGACAGAAGAATCAAGTACTTCAATCTTTGTCTGTTAGTCGTTTTGTTCTTTATGGACCGAAAACTTCAAGCTTTGAATCGAGGGAGATGAAGCGAGCAAACCACATATGTGGTAATGGATTAATGAGAACTCTTAGATCGTTTAGATCGGCGTTTGGATTGAGCTGGAGAGATTGAGCAGAACTGATTAAGGGATATGGGTTCTTCACTTCAACTGCTCTGCAACTCACTATACGACACATCAATGACTACTTTCTGATATTTTGCACTTTTGATCCTTGAACTTTTGATAAATTGCAGTTTGATCCCAAAATTTTGGTTTATTGCAGAAAAATCCTCAAAATGGCCCTAGAATTTATAATTGTGTTTTTCAGCCCCATATTTATGCAATATTTACAAACGAAACGCTTAATAACATCTAAATACAACTCCTAGACACTAAAATGATCAAATTAATAACTAAAAACATATAAAAATACTATAAATCAGTAGCTTTGACAAGGCGGTTACACATGAAAAAATGGAGGTACTGCTCTTTTTTCCTGAAAGGATAAAGCTTTTTCTATAGCTATGTTGTTTAAGGTTAACTGCGATCTCACAATTTGGATAAATGAAAACGAAACTTATATCAGCAAGGGGAAAGTGAAGTCTTTCACTTTCTTTATGTGGTATATTCCTTTTACTTTTGCAGTAAATAATCCATTAGTAGACTTGATGACTTTAATTTGGTATATTCAAATCATGCAATAATGTGATCAAGTGTTCACATTCACATTCTTCTTGGTAATATATTTTTTATGTATCTTTTTTTGGAAATAATAATAAGAAATAAAATTTTATAATAAATATGCATTAATATTATATCACCAAACAATTCTCAATCCAAAAAAAGTGATTATAAGTTTACAACAAAAGTAAAATTAAAAAAAAAAAAAGAAAACCACATACAGAAAATACATTTTAAAAATATACAAAGGTAATTTTTAAATAAACAAAATAGAACTGTAACAAAATTAAAATAGAACTTATTAAATTCAATATACTTAAGACTAAAAAATATTGTATAATTTTAAATACTAATGATCACTTTTAAATTTTTATGGAGTCTACCTAACTTATATATATTTTCAGTTAGAATGGATCAAACTTAGCGACTTATTACTTATAAGTTTATTAAAATCATCTAACATTTCTAATTCTAACTATTATAGTTAAACTAAAATAAACATTAAAAGAGAGAAAAATAATAATCTCCTACATTTTTAAAATATACAAAAGGTAAATTTTAAATAAACAAAATAGAATTGTAACAAAATGAAAATAGAACTTATTAAATTCAGTATATTTAAGACGAAAAACATATTTATAATTATAAATAATAATTATCACTTTTAAATTTTTATGCAGTCTACCTAAATTAAATATATTTTTAGTTAGCATGGATCAAACTTAGCAACTTATTACTTATAAATTTATTAAAATCATCAAGCATTTCTAATTCTAACTATTAGTTAAACTAAAATAAACATTAAAAGACAGCAAAATAATAATCTCCTATAAAAATTTCAATAATTAAAAAGCACAATTTTTAAAATGAATTAGTGAAATAAATAGATAAAAAGATTGTAAAAAAATTAAATTAGTTTTCAGTTCAGAATACATTAAACAATTTAAGTAATTTATATTATTTATTTTCCGTCCGTAGGGCGGGCCTACTCTAGTATGTATATATTTATATGTGGAGATTTTAATGACTATTAACCACAGTGTGGTGCTTTTTCATTTGAAGCCTAAAAGAACAAGGTTAGGAGATTGTGGCTAAGTCTAGCTAAGAATGTTCGCTAAAACGATGAATAGAGGTTAAACACCTAATCCTTCATGTGAAAACACTCAAAATAGCAAAATCATCTTTGTGATTTAGATTAGGATCTGCAGAAATCCCAATACACAGTTGTAGGATATTCATCATCGCACATTAACTGCGACAGAGGTAGAACTGTAGAAGAATCCACAAAGGTACAATTTAAGAAAAGAACTACTAGCTATTTTGCTTAGTGGCATCCATGTTGCAAAAGAAACTTGTATCTAGGAGAAAACCCATCAATGTAAAATGGAAATCAGATAAGAGCTACTGTTTTGACACTTGTATAGCCAATGCTTAAGAAGTTTCCTTGATTCTGTTACACTCACCAGTTACTTGAGGCCACTAGATCCAGCGCATTGCGCCTGTCTCTAGATTCTATTGATTAACATTTCTTAAGTAACATAATTATCTGATAAGTATTATAAACGAACCAGCTTTCTTACAGATACCATTTCTTATCTGACAAAACATATTGAGGAGTAATGCCTGATCACATATCTCATTCCAGTATTTGGCAAGAGAGAGAGGTACTTTGAGGATTTATATAATTTTGTAGTCATTAACCAAACCTAAAGAGAAAAGCAACATCATGTTGGAAGCTGAAACACAGTACAAGAACTTAAAAAAAAAACATAATTGCACTTATTTAACTCACATACTGATTTTTTCATACAATTAAGTAGATCAAAATCGCAAATCACTAAGCAATAAATAAGGAACTGTAACTAAAATTTTTGTTACATTCCCATTCATTTTGTCAATAATTCAAACACTTGCTAGCAAAAGTAAAACTTATGCAAGAATAGCCGACACCACAATAGCCAGACAACCAAACAGGATAATAAACAGGGCAAGAAGCTTCTTATCTGTACCTGTAGAATAAGGAAGTTCAGCAATTCTTGAGATATCAAGTCGCTGCAGTGATCCTCTGTCTGTACTGAAACTCCACCCAAGGATGTATTGGTCACTCACCGCGTTCCCTGTTGCTGCAGAGAATCCAACATACAATTTCGATATATTCGGAAAAATCTTTGCAAGGTTAATGGGATGTGACAAAAGAGGCCGACTTGGTTTCTTGACATCAAGAGGTGAGATCCAGACAGTGAGCATCGTGTCTTCATAATCCACCCACACCTGTATTGGATTCCCACTCAAGAGGTTAATGCTTTCGTTCTTTTTTTCCACGTCTGAATAGTAAGATGCTGAAGCTACTCCTACAGATAAAGGACTGTTCACATCAATCCCCACGTGATTGCTTTTGGTATCATTGAACTCAGGGTTCCATATAGTGTCAAGCTCAACAGCAAGAACGTGAGAAGAGGGAGATTTGATTGTTGAAGCGTCGAAAACTCCCAAGTATCTTGTTGGTTGTGCGTGGGAGAAGTCCATAGATGGAGATACTATGAAGGCAATGCCATGGCCGCCTTCAGTAATGGGCTTTCCTTCAACCTTTGGCTTTTTCACCAGAGCACACACGAAATGCGTGGAGAAGGAGGAAGTGAGCTGAAGTGGCTTATCGTAGAAAGCATGACCTATTTGATACTTTGAAGTGTTTGTCAGCTGTAATGATCCACCGGGATGTACTATTGCAGAACCATCTAGATAAAGATCTTCTCGGTCAAGAAAGTCTTCATAGACAAACCTTGTCTCTTTTTGACTTGATGGAGAGATGAGATGAAGAGAAGAGATGATCAGGATCTGAAGCAGCCAACTAGCCATTTACTGATGATGAAAACAGAGAGAGTTTTGGATCTGAGGTGCAAATCTTCTTTCACCTCAAAACAATGAATCTTATAACCTGTGAAGCTGGATAAAAAAATGTAACATAAGAAAACGTGAGCTTCAATTTTATTAATCAAAATCTACCAACTTTTCTAATATTGTTGATTTAAATAATAACAAGCTTCACGTGGGTTGGTTTTCAAGAGATTCTAGAAATATTTTAAATTATGAGATCTCAACTTGAACCAGAGTAGACAGCCTCGTCTGCTGCATGGGCTGAAACAATACTATATTGCCAACTTGAAGCGTCTTAATATGGAAGCATACAAAATCTATACTATTAAAAGACCCAAGTTCAACCCGATGAAACTACCGCAATGCTGCATGTGGGTGTACCTAGAAACGGTAATAACGGGTCAAACACAAAATCAAACGTTAACTTATGTCTTAAACGAGAAGTGTGTTATCTTTCAGTGGATTTGACTTTAGTCTACTTCTTCAACTTGGATTCAGCTTATACGATGACCACACAAAACCCCAAAGATATGTACTCAGAAGAACACACTTCAGATAGTACTATCATAAGATATTTCTGTCTTTTAAAAAAAAATGTTTATTGGATGGAATACTATTACCCAGATTGAATCATCCATCCATTTTTACAACAATCATCTACACAGCATGAATGGTTGTCACATGTATGTATGTCAGGGTCAACTACTACTAGATTTGCCGTCTCTTGTATGTGTGACTGTTGTCCAATCGTCACATCATATGTTGCTTTAAAATTTTCTCTCAAATAAAATCAAAATTCTAACAACTTAAAACTCTTATAGCAATTAATAACCATATATATTTTCGCAACAACATCTAATCTCTTCCCCAAATCCTAACATAACAAACACAGAGTTCCAGCTTATAAACCAAAACAGCTTTCTATCAGAGAGCCATTTGGAATATTTATGCCAGAGGAAACAAAAACTATCTGTTTATAATCAATCGTTTAAATGGATAAACATGTTGTAAAGGGACAAACTGAATCAATTGGGACAAATAAGACTGGTTAATAAGTGGATAAACATATTGCTGATATTAATGCACATCAGGGATTACCTCCAACTGTTGATGTTGTGAATTTTGGACTCAAACTCTTCGGTAGGTAAGAAAGCCTTAAGTCTTAGGCTTCTCTGGCTCTGCAACTTCGTGAAGAGAGTTCTTAGTCACTGACCATGGCTGATCTGTTGGCTTAGAAGCGTAAGGTGAGTGATTGTAAGAAGAAGAAGACATCGAGGGAGCTGACCAACTCCATGAAGCAGATGGGGCTAGTAGGGAAGCTGCATCAACCATAAACGGAGCGAATGTGCCTATCCCCAATGTATATGGTGAGAAATCTGGCAAGGGCAGGTTTTTGTTTAGGTATAAAACCACTTGTTCCATCGTAGGCCTAGACTCTGGCACAATATTTGAACATAGCAAACCGAGTTTCATAACCATCTCAACTTCCTCTGGTAAGAACTGATCTCCCAGTCTTGGATCAGTGGCATCAAGCAACGCATCCTTTTTCCAGCACTCACAGACCCATTTGATCATATGTTTTTTCTCAGCTTGCAACTGCGGTTCCACGGGTCTTCTACCACAGGTTACTTCAAGCATGAAAACACCAAAGGCATAAACATCAGTTTCAGTTGAAGCTCCCATAGTCACTAGCTCAGGTGCCATATACCCTACTGTTCCCACAGCAGCTGTTGTGGCTGCATTGCCTCCATGTTCATGAAACCTGGCCATACCAAAATCCCCTAACCTACCATTGAGTTCTGCGTCCAACATAACGTTGGAAGCTTTGACATCTCGGTGCAGAACAACGCGGTCAGCACCTGTATGGAGGTACCACAGAGCAGACGCTATTCCCTTAACAACCACAAGTCTTTGCGACCAAGAAAGAACTGATTTCGTCTCATCAAACATATGCTCGTCAAGACTACCATTTGGCATGTACTCCGAGACGAGAAGGAGTTCGTGCTTTCTCCTACAATACCCGAAAAGTGGAACAAGATTCCTGTGTTTAGATATCTCATGCTCACGACTTCAGCTAGAAATTGCTTCAAACCTTCATCACCATTATGGAACACTCTCTTCACTGCTATTTCTCTGCCTTGCGGAAGATCTCCTCTATAGACTTCACCAAAGCCTCCCTTTCCGAGAAACTCATCCTTGCTGAAACCCTTTGTTGCTTTGTACAAGGACTTGTAAGAGAACCGATGTGCATCAAACTCCTTTTCCCATGTTTCAGAAACTTCAGAATACTTCTTCCTCCGGTGGAAGTATACTCCTGCAAGAATAGCAAACACCACAAAAGCCAGACCACCAAGCAGAATAATAACCAGAGTTTGTACAGTGGAATGAGGCTTTGGTGGAAGCTTCTCATCATGTGCAACTATAGAATGAGGAACTTCAAGCATAAAGATTGACAAGCGATGCATCCCGAAAACCTTGCAAGCTGGAGAAAAGGTGAGCGAGAAAAGGATGTGAGCTTTTGTTTCAGTGATCCAAGCACTATCAATATTGTTTTCTTATAAATTGTACTCCCACTAACACGTTGATATTAAATTAATCTAGAAATGAAGCTTAACGTGTTTTTTTTCCAAAATATTCCATTTCACACACTATTTTAACGTATATGATTATAACAACTTCAGTCCAAAATGACAACGCAAAAAGGGTGTCGCAAACATTTCTAAATCAATTAAAACAAAGAAAACTGAGAGAAACTACAGTTAGGTTCTACTTTGTTTACCTAAACCCTTTAGGACTCTATAATTAAGCTCTACACTACCGAGGTGCAGGAGAATACGTTTACACATCAATAGGGCTAAGATTAGAGAGAAGAAAATTAATTAATGTAAATGAAAAAGCAGATGAGAGATTGGTGGTCAAATACCTGCTCTAACTGAGAGTCTCAGTGGGAGGAATATCTTGAAGTTGCATGTCTTTATCCTCCCACTGAGACTCTCAGTGCTGGCAAATGATTCGTGCAAAGCAAACCTCAGCTGAGAATTCAACTCTCAGCACACGGATCTTAACCATTCTGCAATCAGTCAAGTGGCATCCCAACACATGTCTCTTCCCAAAGGTTACTTGAAGCACAAAGGCATACATGTGTCGGTTGCTAAGGAAGCTGCCATTGTTGCAAGCACTGGGGGGAGATGTGGTAACCAGATTCCACAGAGGGTGTGGTGGTGATGTTGTCCCTGTGAGGAACGTAAAAGCCTAACCATAACAGAAATGCTTAACCTTCTTCCCTTTTACATCAGTATCTAACATAAACATCAGAAGCCTTGATTGATCAATCAACTTATTGAGCCACTGTGTGCACAACCTCTACCACCAGTAAGAACCCTTGTATCATGTAGAGAAATAAGTTACTTCAAGAAGAACCAAGAGCTCTCTTAAAAACCCAGTGCAAGGATGCCGTAGTAGCTTTTATCTGAACTTAAACACCAATGTGCTGAGATTTTGAAAATCAATTCATCAGTACCTAGTAGACAAAAAGAAGATTCGCCTTCTCTAAATCCCTAATCGAGGCTTCCTTATCTCGCAATCGGTGTACGATTGACATCTGTCAACCCACAATAGACATCTTCGTTGATGATGACATCACATTTTTCTAAATATTGTACGATTCCAAGAATAACAATATTTATTGCTAATAGGAAAAATTCACAATGAAACGTATTCAAGTTCATTACGAGGATATTATCCATGTACATATCATTTGTATAGTTTGATTCATTTGAGTCTGTACATGATATTGGTATAGTTAGTTTCCGGTTAAGGCTTCTGGTTGCCTTCTTCATTTCTTCTACCACAAGCTATGATGGATGAATGAACTGAAGAATTATAATGCGAGGAAAAGTTGCAAGCAGGAACGAAAGAGTCAGATACTGAGACAAGATTCGTATCAAATCAAAATACATTACAATCAAGTCTCCGCAATATAGACACATTACAATTGACAGAGTAAGCAAAAATGATATTACATCTATACTATTAAAGGTGAAGTACAAAAAGTTAAGTGTTTGGAAATATGAATAGTGTTAAAGAATAAAGAAGGTTGTAACTCTCATAGTATTATTAATCACGTGGTTACATATATATATATATACATACAAGAGAATAAAGCATATTCCTTAGGAGATAAGGATTGCTACAAATAAAGGGGATGATTATCCTAATCCTATAATGATTAGGATATCTACAACATATGGATAAATACAAGGGAGGATAATGACAAGTCTTGGCCGCCTAGTCTTGGGACTGAAGTAGACTGATGTGGTCTGGTCCATTTCCG